GGCAGCAGAGAGTACACTTCTTTTCTAGAGAGAGAAAGAGAGAGAGAGAGAGAGAGAGACTGTGTGGCTTGGGGGGAAGAAGGCAGGGGAGAGTGGCAAAGAGAGGCTGTGTTTGGATGATATATTGGGTTTATGAAATATGGGCATAAGGCCATGGCATATGACACTTGTCATTACAACCTCATCCTAAAAATCGCAAAAATTGGATTTTCATTTATGACATTATGCTACTATATACTTGCATTATTATGATGCTTCCAGCAAAGCTTGTTTTTACCGGCCACCACTTGGAGATAGTAATGTTTATATGTGTTAGAGCAATTCTAACAATACTATCTAAAATAGTTATTTAAAATATATTTAAATATTATATTATCTACTTTAGGTAACTATTTTTTTAAATTCACTCTAATAATGTTATCTATTTTAATTAACTAACTTTCAATAATAAAATTCAAAAAATAGCAATTCAACTATACTTTGTATAAATTTAATCAATTATGAGTTACAAGAGTAAATATCATAAAAGATGGCTACAAGAATAAATATCATAAAATACTTGGGGGGTTTTGCTAGATTTTTGGAGGAATTTTACTAGATTTTTGGGGGTTTACTGGATTTTAATCAATATCGTCTTCCCCATTTTGAGAGAGAGAGAGAAAGAGAGACCATACAGATCAATACACAGGAATCCTAATGCAAACATGGTGATACAAACTTCTGATGAATCATCTGACCAAAAAACAAAAAAAAAAACCACTTCTGATGAATCAAAAAAAAGAAATTTGAGCTCGAGAAAATGGGATCAAAAGGGTTCGATGTGGATTGTTAGCCTGAACAAAGAGGTATCGACTATCTGTAAGAGAGAGAAAGTGTGCCTTTTAGCAAAGAAGAGTGTGAGGATTTTGGCGATGATTTACGAAGATGGAGCTGCGATGATGGATTTTGGCGATGATGGAGCTTCTGTGGAGTGAGGATTTTGGAACAAAATAAGGAACAATGTTAGGAATGGGTTGGATGTGTGTTCGGTGCATCTTTTTCTATGTTTCAGTTAATCGGTGTGAGAAAGAGAATATGAATGCTACTGTGTAAGCTCAATCAGACATGCATAGTTGATGTGTAAGTTGAATCACACATGCATATACTTGAGGCCCAACCCTTTGGACTATTTATACTTTGAGGGATGCTGACATAGAAACACTTAAGTCATGTTCAATCGATAGGTCTGTGATACGTGCTTTTAAATTTAGTATTTATTTGAATATTTTGTTCACTAATTTCTAAGAGTTTAGAATGGAAAAGTCTTAGGGATATAGTTTTAATAGATTTCTTAGTAGTTATTTAGATAGTTGGGTCAATGGCTATCTTTTAGGTGTTATTTCTTTTTATTTAAAGACGTTAGATGAATGAAAATGATATGAGATATTTGTGAAAAATTTTCTTGTGAAAGGTTTAAAGAGTCAGGTTCCTCTCAAAGCGAACCAACGAAGGTTTTCACCCCTCGAATCGGATCTTTTTCTCCTCATTCTATTTTCTTTTTATTTTTTAAATTCTTCGAAATCGTGCATATAACAGTCTAATAACCTTCTTGGAGTAAAATCTTTTATGTTAGTCCATATGTATGGCGGATCCCTTATGCTAGTGGTTGTCTCCTTGTGGAATGGCCTTGAGAGGTACATGTATTAAGTTTAGAGATGGTCTTGCAATTAGGGTCAACACAACAATGATTATTCCATTCGGGGGCTGAACATTTACTTAGACATGCTGAATATTATTTAATAAAGGGTCTCTCATATAAAAAAGGGACATACATCATTTTCGTTATCCATAGGATCTAGTTTTGGTTTCTTTGCGGAGGTGACGATGTAGCTAATCATTCCATATCACATTTCCCATTAGCCGATTCAAGTAATGTTAGATATAGTCAAATTAACTACATTGCTCGGGTCTGGGGTATGACATCCCTAGGATGTAAGAAATTTTAATGATTCGTATATAAAATTTAGAACACCTAAATTACAAGGTTTAGAATATACATGTATGAGCCCATGATACTCGATCTTCAAATTTCTTTCTTGAAAGGGCAAGGTTTTCATCTCCTTCTTTAAAGCAATAGACGGTTCTCAATGGGACAAGCCAAATTAGGGTTATGAAGTGGAGAGGAACCTAACCTGCTATTTATAATGAAATCTAATGGGTTCTCCCATTAGATTAAAGTCTACACTTAACCGCCTTAACCACTTCAATTAAAAGATGTATATAAGCCCATCAAAATAGATCACCTAATAATATTGAGCTCATCTCATTGGACCATAAATTCAACTCATTTTTTACAAACTAAAATTAACTATCAATTAATGGCAGTCCAATATAAAAAAAATTCTAAAATTCTCTCACTTGAACAACATTAATTGTAGTCATTTAGAAATAAAATAAAATTATATATATATATTCGAAAACGACTCTCGAGCTAATCAAACAAGACTCAATGTGACCACAATAAAAAATAATATGGTCCTAAGACAATATCTCAAACACAACGCGGTCCAATAAATTTACTATTTTCAAACCATGGCGGTCTTTACATCTTTTATTGACATAGGATCAATCCATGATTACAAAAAATAACAATTCTATTGACATAAATCAAGATGTGGTAGTGTAACAAGAAAATAACATCTCAATATGTGATCTAATAATAAACATGTTATATTCATTGTTATTCCATCAAATGATTTCTCTATAACAACATATTTCAACAATAAATTAGAGAAATCCATTAACTTCAACAATAAGCTAGTATGTCTTCAAACTTAAAATCACAAGATTTTCTCAAATGGTATAATCAGAAACATACTCAATTGACAAAACAATCATACTTAAAACATACACTAAGTTTTAAGATTTTGTATAAAATGACATGTCATAAATGTGTACACATATAACATAGAAAGAATATTATGCTAACAATAAGTATAATCATCAAATATTTATTATTCATCAAATAGATGTATCTTAACCATAATAAGTATCAAATATCACATATGAAATTAAATCAACACTAAAGTTCTTAACACATAAAAAAAAAAAAAATTCCCACTAACCAAGTACATCAAAATATCCCAAAATATCCATGTTGTCAACATGTTTCTTAAAAGTTACAAGTCTCAGTCTTTTGGTTAAAGGATCACACAAGCATTGATTCTGTATCAATATGTTCAATCACAATATCACTTTTTTTCACAAGATCCCTAATAGAAAGATATTTAATTTTTATATGTTTAGATCTACTAGAATGTTTGTTGTTATTTGAGAAGAACACAGTTGCACTATTATCACAATAAATTGTTAGTGGTCTAGAGATGAAATCAACAATCATAAGTCTTGAAATAAAATTCCTTAGCCATATAGCTTGTGTTGCAGTTCCAAAACAAACTACAAATTCAGCTTGTATAGTGGAAGAAGTTGTGAGAGTTTGTTTAACACTCTTCCATGATATTGCTCCTCCAACTAACATGAAAATATTGGTCTGAGTAATCAATCACCTCAAGACTATCAACTCTCCTATAAACAAACATGTAATTTTTTGTTCTCTACAAGTATCTTATACCTTTTTTAGCTGTCACCCAATGATTTAATCCTGATTTGGAAAGATATCTGTCAAGAACACTAACTGCAAAAGTAATGTCAAACCTAGTACAAACATGTGCATACATTAAACTACTAACAACACTTGCATAAGGTATACTCTTCATAGACTCCTCTTCAAGATCATTCTTAGGGCATTGACTTAAACTGAATTTATCAACTTTCACAACAAGTACATCCCTAAACTTACAATTATGCATATTAAATCTTTCAAACACACGATCTATATATACCCTTTGAGAAAGTCTCAATAATCCACGACTCATATCCCGATGAATTTGAATGTTTAACACAAAAAATGCTTCCCCAAAATCTTTTATGTCAAATATTTTGCACAATAATTATTTAATCTCATAAAGTAAGCTCAAATCATTACTTACAAGTAAAATATCATCAACATAAAGAACAAGAAAAATAAATTTGCTCTCACTGACCTTAAGATATACACATTGATCCATCTTGTTCTCAACAAAACCAAGAGAAATTACTATTTCATCAAATTTTAAGTATCACTGACGAGAAGCCTATTTGAGACCATAGATAGACTTCTTCAACTTGCACACTAAATATTCTTTCTCATTCTCCTTAAAATATTCAGGTTGCATTATATAAACTTCTTCACTAAGCTTACCATTCAGGAAAGCTGTCTTCAAATCCATTTGGTGAAGTTTTAGATCAAAAGGAATCACTAATGTCATAATGATCCTAAAAGAATCTTTAGCAGAGACAGGTGAAAAAGTTTCATACCTTCCCTCTGCCTATACTTTTTTGTTATCAATCTAGCCTTAAATCTTTCAATTTTACCTTTGGAGTCCATCCTAGTTTTAAACACCAATTTGTAGTCAATGGATTTACATCCCTTGAGAAGTTCCACAAACTCCCACATTTCATTGTGTGCCATAGAATGTATCTCATCTTTCATGACATCTACCCACATATTAGATTGAGGACAAGTAATAGCATCATGGTATATTACAGGATCAACAATATCATCAATATCATAATCACTTTCCCCAAGGTATACATAATATTCGTTAGAAATAAAAGATCTCCTTGGTCTTGTAGACCTTCTCAAGAAAATTTCAGTAGTAGTCTCTAAAGGCTGAGGAGCCTCAATAGGAACAGAAGGTTCAATTGTAGGAACAGAAGGATCAATAATTGGAGTAAAAAAATTAACAACAGGAGTAGGTATAATACTCTCTTCCACAACAGGTAAAGGAATAGAAATAAATTTATCTTGATCATGCACAGTAATAGGCTATGAGCAACTAATATCAGCAACATCAAGTTTCAGAAAATTTGTTGTTAAGGACTCAACAATTTTAGTATCACGTGTAGGACAATAGAACCGG